CTACACCCTCCTTATTTACCTTCTCTCTACAATTTTTCCCGTTATCTTCTCTTCCTTTGATCCTCTTCCTCTCTTCTCCTCTCATCTTCTTCTCTTCTCCCTCTCCATCCCTTCTACTCCCTCCCCTTCCACCTCCACCTCCTCTCCCGTGATGTGTCAGTATTCACGACATTATTTGTGTATTGTTCGTTTGGTTAGGTTACGTTACGTTACGTTACGTTACCATTAGGCTGTTTAATCCAAATAATCTTTTAGTACAAAATAATGAAAACATAATGAGTCTTTGTCGTCAATTAATCTTACCAGACGCTAAATATTGGTAAATGATTCAGTAGAATTTATAAGTGAGAATAATACTAAGTTTGGCGGAGTTAAATAGTAATTTCTGAATCAATATTGACCACTGTTATCATACATCGCTGTCATCGCTTGTCTGTTATCGCTTGTCTGTCTGTTATCGATGTTATCTTTAAGCACTCGTTGTTAATGATAATGCTGACATGTGTAATTCGTATGTATATATAATTATTAATTAATATAACTGTGTGTTCATATGTGATTATACAAGTTGACCGGAAGTAATTTACACGATTGCATTAAACAACTCTACTACATATATCTTTTACAAGATTATATAGTTTATCTACACAATTACCTTACACAATTGCATAATACAAATGCTTAGCAAAATTAGATAAGACAATTACATACAATAAGTGATTCTACGACAGCAATCACTCGGTGTTTTGTTTTTATTCTTCTGTGTGTATTTCTTCTACTTTTATTCACTACTACTAATGTTGATAATGATAAAAATAATGATAATAATTCGTTCGTATTTTTCAATTTCGTGATTTTTTTCTTCATATTTTCTCCCTTTTCCTCTTCTTCCTTTTTTAGTTCTGTGTATCCACCAGCGCCCCTTGTTATGTGTCCACCAGTGTTCCCTCGTATGTATCCACCAGCGCTCCTCGTATGTGTGCACCAGCGCCCCCTCGTGTGTGTCCACCAGCGTCCCCTCGTGTGTGTCCACCAGCGCCCCCTCGTGTGTGTCAGCGCCTCGTTCGTGTTCATTATTCACCTGTAATCCGTTTATGGGAGCGCGACCACCCGATAAATGTAATAAACAGCAAGTGTAAGTAATCGGTATGTCTGTGTGTGTGTTTATGAGTGCTGGGGGAGTGTGTGTGTGTGTGTAGTGTGTGTGTGTGTGTGTGTGTGTGTGTGTGTGTGTGTGTGTGTGTGTGTGTCAGTACTCCATTTAAGTCTATTCGTTTACTGAAGTCTTCTGGACATAATGCCAAAATAAACAATGTGTGTGTCCTTTCACCATAGATATTACCCACGTAGAGTAAAGCTTCCCTCCAGTAGGCACCGACAGAGGGCAGCACCCGCCATCATACCCAAGCAATACCAATGTACCCTGATGACGTCACAGTTCACTCTGGTTGGCGAAACAAAACAAACATCTGAGAGTTACATATAAGATCAGTTTATATTCCTGAAAAAATCAAGTCAATTTCGTGGTGAAAATTTTTTCCGACTAATTTTTTTCTTCTTGAAATTATTTTGCATAAATAAATAAAGACATAGAACACATAATTATCTTTATTTCTTTTGTTTTCTACCAGTTAGTGAACATTATACTTGTAAACAATGACGCTAAACATTCGTGGACAAGGCAATGTTAACCTCTATAAATTCACACAACATTAAAAACGATATAAAAAAGATATGACAAACTTCTTCTTATTAACAACTAAAAATAATCACTTGTACGTCCATCAATCGAAGACCGAAATATTTACATTATTACACATAGGAGCCCCTAGAGTCAACGCCAGGTGGTTCTCAAAGGGCCTCCCCATCAGGAAGGTAATCAGGAACGTGCTATGGACTGACTGCTTTACTAAATAGCTTCCTCAGGGTTCTCAAAGGTCTCTACCCTGAGTGTGTGATATATTAACAGGTTTACTTACGCTGCACCACCCTAAGAGTTGACAGTCAAAATGGCGTCGACAATACGCTTAACTCGAATATATCCAGAGGTAGAAGGAAACAATCACAAGGTGCGATTTTTTTTTTAATTGATCAGGAGTGACTTTAATCGATATGAAATTCGTTTGATATATTTACGTTGTTGTGGACCAGGTCAGTGTGACGTTCCTGACTGCTTCTCTCAAATATATCAACGTCTATTACTCCTCGTATGTATAACACTCTCTATACACTAATTAAAATGACATCAGATAATTTGTCACAACGTTTCAGGAGCAGTTAAGTTGCACTCGGTATTACCAACACACTAAATAACGCTATGAACACTGCGCCTGGCTCGTGCGATACTGTAACCCATTCCTCTAACACGTCAGTAATCTTAGTCTTTAACATAATTCTTTGGTTTTCATAACGATACATAACGCGATTATTACTGTACTTATCCTGCTAATACCCAGGACGCCTCCTTCAAGTCTTTCGACACTGCACCTTCTTAATTTAC